GAGACTATTTCATTTAATAAATGTTTTGTTTTGATATATATTGTTTGTGTTTGTCATATTAAGAAAAGCAACATTAATTTCTTGACGACCTAACACCTTATGATGATCCTCATTCTGCAGACCTTGCTCTATCCACACTAATGACTTGGATTGTGCAACTGCTCCATCTTGTTTATCATGATTTTCCTGACCACCTTAAGCGAGAATTTCAGATTATATTTCCTCATACTTGCATTTTGGCTATATCTTTGGCCTCCTAGTTTCTTTCCCTTTTAACAGACATTTTACAGGCTGGCATGGGAACTGAATACTTTCTTGCTGTTTTACCTTCATCACATCATTTATCTTCAGTGTTAGGATTTTGTGTTCTGCCTGTTGTTATTCTTCAGGCTCAATGGAATACGTCTCTTGTAAGTTTTTTATATTCTGCCTAGCACTCATTGTTGCCCATTTCCAGGATTTTTGGGGTTGTGAATAAGTTTGACTTCAAAGCAAAAAATACAAAACAATAAAGCTACAATAATTAAATTTAGTTTCTTCTTATGTATCAAGAATCTGTACTTATATCAACTCATCCAGTTGGCACTCACACATGTTATGTAACCTCTGCATTTGCCCCAGGCAACCCAAGTTTTTATATATTGTCCAACACCACTGTTTGGAAATCTAGGGGTGCCAGAGATTAAAAAATAATTTGGTTACACACACACATACACACACACAAAATGAATTAAAAAATAATTTGGTTACACATACACATACACACACACAAAATGAATTAAGAAATAATTTGGTTATATACACACATACACACACAAAATTACATTGGCCCCTCCTTATATTAGATGCTGTGTATAGATTCATACAGTCAGAACTCTTAGATGTTGCATACACCTATGCATTTTCCTAGACAAAATTCCAACCTCTATACTGGAGTTCCAAGAAAAGGTGTTGCCCTTTGGAAATGGACAGAGGGTGTCATCTGGTGGTTGTTGATACCTTGGCAGGTATCTTAATCTCTACATGTACATCCTTGTATGACATCAGAGTTGTCAGTAATGAGGCTACCATTATGACTAGATGTCTCAGATTCAACCAGGATGTTATTCCTTCTTTCTTTCTTTAAGTTTTAATGTTCCTCTAGCATTGCCTTCATGTTGTTGAGCCCACCCTTGGAGACTGTTTAGGTCTTTTTTCATTTCTTCCCGAGTGCCCACTAAATTGGCCAGTTGTGTGACTCACTGACCATTTTTGATATGACTGTAGAGGGGCTACTGCCTCTGTAGTATATTCTTTTATAACACGTCTGGGCTGCACTGCCAAGAACCTTTCACTGCAGGACATAATATTCCTCCTATCTGTTTATGCCAACACGTGTCCCATTGTTGGGCAGAATATAAAAAAACACATACCCTTACCACTTGCAAAACTTACCCCTTTGCCTGAATTAAAGGTATTATTGGAGGGCAAGGCCTCCCCACTTTTTCTTTTTCTGTGGGATATAGTATAACACAACCTTCACAATAATTTAGTCAAGACTTTTTTTTGCTCTTCCCCCACATTTTGGGCCCCTGTTGAGCAGAACACCTTTTTTCTGAATGTACTTTTGGTCCAGTATTTTTATAAGGTTGATCTGCACCACTCATTCTTTCTCTTATCTAGTTCTGCAATTTATTTTATGGTTCAAGATTACACTAAAACTGTGGTTGTCTGCATACTTACTGTAGGCTAGATTTAGTATCTTTGTGACCTGTAGCTTGTAGTTTTGTATTTTCAGTTTCTTTTAATTTTCATCATTTCACACCACTTTTACAACATGGACATTCTTGTTTTCAGAAAACCAGAGAAAAGTCTACATTTTTTGAATTTTACATTATTAGAAATAAAATTAATTTCAAATGTGTATTTACCTTTCAAATATCCCTCCTACATTCCCACAATTGAAATTTCATTATAATTGCAACTTTCAATAAAATCTTAATTATGGCTGGAAAGCAGAGCTTTTGTGAGATCCCCTGAAGTTTTCACAGTAAGTCATGTGGAATGTGGGAGAGATGAGTATTATGGGTAAGTGATGTATGTGGTCACTTGTTTTATTGACAGCATGAGCTCAAACTTAACAAATTGAATAGCTTTCAGCATTTCAGGGGTAAGCATGTGTTTGAAATGCATTTTAATTCTACAGACGTAAAATTCCTTTGTATTATATTTTTGGTACACTTTTAAAAAACTAGCTAGCTTTATTCTTGGCATTAAATTTAGTCCAAGTCCATCGAAACATCAATTAATTAAAAAAAAAAATATAAACCCACTTATCACACACACACACACTCACTTAATGAAAATTAAAAATACACTTGCTAACTGCTGTTTAGAGGTAAATATTATAAAGTAGCTTAGCAATTCAAATTTTTTCTCTAAGTTTAAAATTTAAATACTTTGTAGCTGTTTGTAGCAACATTTTGAATTGTGTTCTTAGAACTGTTTGATTTTTTTTTTTATCAAATCTAGAACTCTTAAAAAGTTAGAATGTTTTTATGAATTAATTTATAATGCATTGTTCTAAGCAAAAGTATATAGTAGCTTTTACACTGTTTTTGATAATCTGTAGCTTAGTTTATGTTGCTTTTTTCTTATTGAAATTCTTATTGGTTTTTTTTAATTTGGCAGTACCTACTTTGTGTGTGTGTATATAGAAGGTTAAATTTAACAATATGAAAAAAAAAATATTTTTCAACATTTCTTCAACAATATCATACTTTTGTTGGAAAAAATAAAACTTCAAGCATTGACTGGTTTAATGAATTTTGCCACATATATTTAGACACATGTACATGTAGGAATCATTTTATTTGATCTTTAATTTTACTGTATTATTCTAGCTGATACAATAAGTAGTCTTGATCCAAGCAAGTTTGGAAAATGGAAGAAATACTTTCAGCTCAAGTCTCTTTTCTACTTGGCCTATGTAAGTCTATAAGATGTTTCTAAGGCTAAGAAATTTAGAAGCTAGATACTGTAATTATCTAGAAATGTTAACTGAATTATTACTGTATTGAAAAATGTGTGTTTTTAATTCTGTTGTGATTAAGAGTTGTGCAGATATGGTGCATAGTAGAAAAAAAAGGAAATCTGAGATTTTCATAATAAATAAGATTTGATACTATATTACAGTTTTAAAGGACATAGAAAAAGCATGTTATGTGATTAATTTTATTTTGAAAGACTTTTTAAGATAATACAAATAACAAGGGTACTTTCACACATCCAGAACTAGCTCACTCACATTCAAATGAAAAGGTAATAAATCAGTGTCTAATTTAATATACTTATAATAAAACTATGATATCTTATATGTTGGTTTTTACTACACTTTTGTTTGTGTGTAACCTGTTAGTGTTGTATGATTGATCAACTTGTAAACAGTTTAGGCATTACAGAGATTTTTCATTTATGTTTTTCTGCACTTTTGAGTACACTTTAAATTTGTAAGAATAAAAAATTTTCTATATTTTATGTTTATGCCATATTTTGGAGCTTAAATTTTTTATGTATATTTTAAAACAGTTTTAAGTAAATATATGATATATTTTGAATTAATATGTCTTTATATTCTGACATTTTACATTGCAGTTAGTAGTTAAAAATCTGTAAATACATTGTTTTTTACAATCAAGGTGATAGCTTACATTTGCTAAACTTTGACTAAGTAATTTGTATATTTTAATTTTTCTGACACCTAAAATTATTGTATGAAACTTCTTGTACATTTTATTTGCTTTAATTAAAAAAATTTCAAGTTGATACTCCATTGAAGAAGAGTTAATATACAATGATACTCATGTGGGTTGGTAAAAGTGGCATTATGGCAGTTCCTGAGTTGTTAATAACAAACATATTTTAAGTAAGATTGAAATTGTAGTACTACTAAGAACAGATAGTTCATTTACAAAATGGGAAAATATTAATTGCTTCAATATTTTTTTTCTTTGTGTACTTACATGAGTGAAGATATCAATGTAAATATATAAAAAGTAAACATTTCAATAACCACTTGTTTTGATCATCTTTTTGAAAATCTTTTAAGCTTGTCTTATTATTATTTAGCTAAGCTTTCAAGAAACCTAGTTAACATTTTTGTTAGCTTTCACAAATACACATTTATGTGTTTTAAAGAATTACTTGTCTCTGTTTATGAATTTTCAAATGCGAAAACTGTGGTTATAAGTTTATAATTTTTTTGGGTTAATATAAAGTCTGGTTTTGTGGAAAATGCTGAAAGTTGCTGTTGTTGGAACAGATATGTAGATTTTGTTGTTATGCTGTTTATACACACTCTTTGTGCAAATATAATGTTATAAATCTATTTCACATGTTTTTTTGTGGTTTCAAGGCCTACTGCTATGCTGGAGAAAATCTTCTAGCCCAAGAAAAATGTGGTGAAGCAATACGTGCCTTGCAAGAAAGTGATAAGTGTAAGTAAATTAATACAGATAAGCTAAGTGAAATGGAATGTTAAGTCCAGAGTTGACAAGTAAGTAAAGAACTACTTTTTTCCAATCTCTCAGACTTATATACTAGTATTTGTATGTATAATTTCAGGAGTTTATTACATTATTTTTGAGGAAAAATAACATAAACCACATAAAACATTGATGTTTGAAACCACAGTGTACAAGAACAGAAGTATTTATACAACTTTAGGCTAAGGTTTAAATTGTTTTCTAAGGCTGTTTTAATCTTGCATTCTCAGTGTAATTTATTGTTGTTTTTAAAAAAACTGGAGTTTAACTGTACTATTATTATACTAGACTGGTTCTTTAAACCAAAATTTATCCCTTTGGTTCCTCAAAACCAAAGTTTTTATCCTGAAATTACAAGTATGTTAAAAAATGTGTGTCTCTGATTTAATTTCTTAACTTTCTCTATAGGAGCTCAGTCACTTTAACCAACATTGCAAAGACCAGGTAACCATGAAAGTACATATAGTATAACATTTAACACTTTCGCTCCGGGTATTCTTCATTATGTATGACAGAAATTTTTGGTGTCTTACATTCAAAATTTTATTAAACTACTTTTTGTTTATGTTATACCAATTGATATGGCATAAACACTAAGCTAATAATCCATATTTTAATAGTACATAAGTTTTAAGTTCTTAATTCTATAAGGAAATATAAAAACAAAATCCTGAACTTCTCATAGTGTGACACTTGTGACATATTTTCTCTAAGCATCATATCTTCTCAATTTTATCCACCATCCCTTGAAAATGTACAAAATTAAACGTAAATTACTCTCTATAGAATCATCACTGCTCAAACGATCCATGATTTTTATAGTCTTCAATTTTGTTTGGTTACAGAGCTATAAATAAAAATCACACCCCTTCTGCCACACCTACCTGTCACATCCTTTCTTTCAGGCTTTTTTAATAG